ACTGTACCAACGTATTTCTTAAGGGCTCTGAGCGCGCTGCTGAGAAACGCGGAACGAGAACGAGAAAACAACAAGAACTCAACTTTGAAGAAATCCTTAAAAATCAAATTGATATGCGTTACACACGCAGGGGTAATCTTTTTACACTGTTAAGGGGAGACTCAACAACAATCTCAAAGTACCGTTTTCTGATAGTTTTCGGCCTTTGTTTTCACAGTGATGGTTGCCAAGTGCTTGCCCTTTCACTTCACGATTGCGCGCGCTTCTGTGTTCCTTTATAAAGGAGAAATTCCGCTAAAGGGCTATAAAATAGACGGGGTATGACACATTTTCGGGCACACCGCGTACCAGACTTCTCGTACACGAACATTATTTATGATATTCGTAGAGCACCGTCGAACAACAAATAACCAAATCCTCAATATTCTATTTATTACAAAAAGCGGGTTGGAAGCGTTTCACATTCGAACCTTTTCAAAAAGCGCGCGGGTACGTCTTTTACGCGCTAGATTAACGTACTGTGAGCAGGGTGCAAAACCAATGCGTTTAGTACTTTTAAAAATTTCTAACTGGAATGTTACTAATAACTTACTTTAGCCAAGAAGAAAAACGTATTCATGTATTATTTCTAGTATTGTAACAACCCAATCATTTTCCCCGATCAGTCTTGGTTATACCAACAGATTGGCGTTTGTTTATTGATCATGTAAACCGAAGAAATTCAGTTTGTGAATCTGTAGCACGGACACAAAAAAAAAAAAAAAGAAAGAAAAAGCTCTTTATTTTGATTCGTATGTGTGTATACCGATGATTTAAAATACATTTCAGGCCTTCTAGTACGTTGAAGCAGTACAAGACAGTTTTATAACAACTATGTCCAGTCCGCTAAAATGTCTTTGTGACGGGAAGCTGCAGGAGAAGAATGTCTTATTACAAGGCACATTAGCATGGAGATAGCTGTGAAATTACAGCAATCTCGAAGTTTAAAATTGTTCATGTTTACATTTCGTTGAAACTTATATGCAATTATTGTGTTATAGTCAAGTGCCTTGAACTACTAGGTTTATGATTTATATGGGTAGAGCTGAGATTGGATAAAATAGTAAAAATATGTGTAATATTAAGATACAAGATGTTCTTCTCTGTTAGGGTCCCACCGAATGATCAGCGGAAGAAGGCCAACCTACAGGACTGTACTCAGGGCTACTTCTCTGTGTAAGGTCGAATTGTAATCGAAACGTACCTGACTGGGGGTTACTTTATTAACTCCACCTAGTGCGGCGCTCATAGTGTTTCGTCGGGACTACCTTGTGAGTTGAGTATGGTAAGTAAATAGGTACAGGATACTGTCATTCGTGGGCCAGCAATCTGTCAAATAGAGTTGTCTCCTGCAGCCATTCTATCCTCGGGGACGGACTATACTACGTCACAGAATGTTCTATGCTGTAAGGCGCGCACCATACGTGTATTTGTGTGGGCTCTGCGCGTTATGGTGTGGAACGCCGGTCGAAGAGCCGGTGACAACAGCTAGAGTCTAGAAAACATCACAAACTCAACTTTGAAGTAATCCTGAACAACCAAATTTATATGTTTTTACCGTGATGGTTGCCAGGCGATGAAAATGCACGGATGTTTGCCCGAGAATTAGAACGATCTATGCCACTGCAACGCGTTCTTTATAACAGGTAAGCAAATAACACCGAATAAACGGCAAGGTAAAGACTATGTCTAATTATAGTAAATACGTACTGCGTGCGTGACTCGAACCGGCGCTCGCGTACGGCACCCAATCGCCTAGCTTCACGCCACTACACGTCTTCCCCTCGGCCACCGGGCATCCCCAATAAAGGATGCTTAATAACCGAGCTTATTACGTGCAGAGAACGTGAAACCCGTCCACGCGATACGCGCCACACAGCATGGCCAGAATGCGGCAAAGGCCTTCAGATCTGGCTGTAGTAGGATAACAGAGCGACGAGATGCGCCCTCTAATGTGACTTCCATCTAACCCCAGCGACTTGCTTAATGCACTCGGTTAACATTTTAAATTAGGAAACTTTGAAGGGCTTCATTTTACAGTTTAGTATTCGTCATTCCTTGCATCAATGTCCTGATATACCGACCTCAATACTAGAGCAACTAGGGTAAAGCTAGCTAATGCTATGTTCAGCGAACGCTGGAGAAGCTAACAAATGCTATTTTAAAATCGACCTAAATTACAGACAATTTTGAATTTGATTAAACACGGTGTTTGAGTTGTGAAAACACAGCCTTTGTACGTGATTTATACAAACTTGGGACTGTCTTTGTTCTGTAAACGCTGGTCCAATACACTTCACCAGTCCCCACGACTTGTGTGTCGTATTGTAATATCTGATATACTGGGGTGTAATATTCGATATGTACCAAATGCTTTCAGAACGGTTGGAAACAGAAAAGACTTAGTTTCACATTGAAATGCACCCCGGGCTACACCTGTAATTCGAAGCATGTGCGTTTTTTTTTTTCTAATAAAACTCGTCTGCTTGTTTACTGTTTTTTTCTTGTTTTAAATTAAAACGGGTGACGGGTGACGGTGGTGAATTTTGAAGATGAGAAAAATCCTGTTTGAATTCGTGACATAGCACTAAATGTGTCTTGCATTGTATTTATCATTTTGAAATGGTTGTTTGTTTCCATATGATTTGCCCTATCTGTCCCATCACCGCCCATCCCCCCCCCCCCAAAAAAAATACTGTTTCACGCAGCGAGGCGATGGTGTCGTCGAAGCTGCATTAGAAGCCTATTGCCCCGTGTGTGATTTGTTTTTATTTATGTACAAGGAGGTTCGAGTAGAAGTGAGGAGTATATGAATACTTGAATACCGCAAATAAAATAAATATATGACGTCATCGGACAATGATGTCAATATCACGATTGTTTCGATTGTAAAATTATTTCTTCAAGTTCATATCACAAAATTTTGATCAGTGATATCAAGATAAAGGGAGAAAATGGTCATATATTATTATTAATATCAATCCTAATATTGTGAAAAACATTTAAAAAATGATATTATAATGTATTCAATTTCCATTGTATACAATAGAACGTTGCACCCAAAATGCATAGCGGACAGTTACATGATCATGTAGTAAAACAACATGAATTCCGCTCGATGTGCCTTAATATGCTGTGCAATATTTAAACTGACCTATGGATAGAAATTATTTTACTTCCCCTGTTTCCGGTGAGAGCCACAGTATATTTGTACTAAGTTTGTCGCGAATTGGGGCAACCGAACACGTCACACGAGACTTGTACTAATCCCCGCGAATGACGATTCTTAACCCGGGCCGATTGTACTAGTTCCTGGGATTATACTGGTCCCGGGTTAATAAACAATGACACGTTAAGTGGTGAGGAGGGGTCCCTCGTTCTACACATACCGCTAGTATTGGCATATTAGTCAATCTTATATTACAGTAATGAACTGTAGTTCATGGCCGATTGTTACACATTCACATAAACGTTGATAATTTTACAATCGAATGCAATTCAAAATGTGTGTTTTTCAGTGACACTGACATACTTGTCCGGTGACGTCATTTATTTATTTTTTATTTCATTTGCTGTATTCAAGCAGAAGAACCTCCTTTGACAAGAAAAATGCAGCTTCGACGGCACCTAGTTGTGTGACACACCGCAGTATTTCTTTTTATTTGGCGGGTGGTGATGGGACAAATAGGCTCAATTGCCTATCATATGGAAACAAACAACCTTTTCAAAATGCTAAATACAATGCAAGGCACATTAGTGCGATGTCACGAATTCAAAATGTATCTTCTCTAGCTTCAAACTTGAAATTCACCACTCGATTTGTCAATAGAGCAGCCAGGGCTTTAATGGGGCAATGTCACCGTGACATTTTCTATTTGTTTGAACAAGGAATATACACCAATCAGTACTGCCCGGGCCATAATATACATGTAATGCTGATACTTTATGAAACTAAAAAAACTTATGGTTTGTCAGTTTAGACATAATAAAACCATGCTTTAAAACAATCTTTCACTATCTCTGGGAAACTGTGTACCTTCTCGCGAACAAAGAGGAATGTACCAATCATTGATTTACCCTTGGTGCATTATTACTTGCGTTCAAGTTGTTCCCCGTTTAGTTAAGGTCTCACGGGAAGAGGTTTTGTTGTTCTCATTCCATTGCCAGTAGCCCAACATTTAGGCAATTAGAATTAAACATGGCCGTGTCATCTTGAGTCCGGTTATCGACACTTAGTTGGCTGAGATCGAACACGTATATCATTTTCCCTATTGACGTTATTGAAGTTTCTCTGATTTGTTATGTTTCCTTCTATATGACGTCATCGGGTGAGGTATCACTGTTCGACATATACGCATATCTTAGACTCGCGTACGGTGCTTCGGATTACAGGTGTAGCCCGGGGTATATTTCAATGTGAAAATAGGTCTTTTCTGTTTCCAAACTTTCTGATAGCATTTGGTACATATCGAATATTGCACCCTGGTATATCAGATTTTACAAATACGATACACGAGTCGTGGGGACTGGTGAAGTGTATAGAACCAGCGTTTACAGAACAAAGACAGCCGCAAGTTTGTATAAATCGTGTACAAAGGCTGTGTTTTCACAACTCAAACACCGTGTTAAATAAATCTTAAGCTTACAACATAGAACCTACTCTCATTTTGTAGTCATTATGTATCTAGTTTAGATCTGTCAAATAACTGTCGTAATTACAGCCATTAGTGAGTAAGAAAGGCGTTCTGCTTTGCCATACATTTGATTACGCGACTCGAGGGGTCAACTGCGGTGGACCCCTCGTTTTTATTCGTTGTGAATAGATACATAGTAGCCTCAGGCGAAAGTCAACTGATACTTATCTCCATAGCGACATGTTTGCGCATGCGCACGCAGTACTTCAATTCAGATTTACTACTCCGACAGTTTGTTGATCCACGGTTGTACTCTGTACCCGTTTGCTTACCATACTTGACTCACGGGTAGTTCCAACAAAACACTATGAGCATCGCACTAGGTGGCGATAATAAAGTGCGTCCCAGTAAATTGACAGAAGTTGAAGATGGCAAGACGGGAGATCAGGTACGTTTCGATTACAATTCGACGTTACACAGAGAAGAACAAGCGTATCTTTCTCTCCATCAACTACTGTAGCCACACATGTCACAGGTTTTCTACAAGTACAAATATTTTTATTATTTTACCCAATTTCAGCTTTACCCATGTAAATCATAAACATATAAGTTCAAGGAACGTGACTATAACACAATAATTGCATATAAGTTCAAATGAAATGTAAACATGATAAATTTAAAATACCGAGATCGCTATAATTTCACAGCTATCCATGTGTCAATGTGCATTGTAATAAGACATGCTTCTCGAGCTTCCTTTTCCAAAAGACATTTTAGCGGACTGGACATAGTTGTTGTATAACTGTCTTGTACTGGTTCAACGTACTATAAGGCCTAATTTGTATTTTCAATCGTCGGTATATACACATAAGAATCAAAATGAAGAGCTTTATCCAAGTCCCTGGGGCTGTTTAAGTCAAATAAGTTGTTACCTTTTTTTCCACGGTACGGGGTCACGAACTGAATTCCTTCGGTTTACATCAATAACAAATGCCTCATTTTTTTGTGTAGAACAAACATCGCTCTGTTGGTAAAACCAACGCCGGTAGTCAAAAACGCTTAGGTGTTAAATCAGTGAAGAAATTAAACACAGATATAATGGCGCAGTTTTTAGTTTTGTGTATATTTAGTACGTTTATTATTATATTTTTTAAATAGCTAGTTATCGGTGGAACCAAGAGCGTGTAACTAGCACAATTACGTTGTTCCACAAATCTTTCAAAACCGAATGTATCAATTTTGCCTAATGCCCGTGGTATAACTCAACGAGTTTGGAGGCGTTTGTCACATGCCTAAGCTCTCTTTAGTTTACATTTCACAAAACTGAGTTGACATATACGATCTTGTTAAATTCTAGCTCAATGCTACAGGACATTTTCCCCACACCAATGAGACTAGACGTACTTTATATTCCACATACTAGTATCCAATACAGATCTACGATTCTTTATGAGATCATTTGAGAAAGTCGTCCTACAAAAAGAAAATTCTCAGTTTCTTATTGTTGCCATTGTCTACACTTTTTTCTCGTTTCAAGTTCAACCTTGACGCCAAATTGCTGTCAAACTACTTATATAACGCTACTTTGGCTGACCCTTATTAATGACACTGTTCTGTATATTCAATGGATAGATAAGTTAGGTCATTGATTTAGCAGCGCAAAGATGTCATTTGTGTGTAATTATCATACACGTCTGTCATAGTCTATTGCGATACATTTTCATATTCACTGGATTGGCGTATTTTGTGCCGACTTTGATAATGAATGTACGTGCTCAGTGATTCAGATGATATACTGAGCGCTAATTTGACAGTCGATTCATCAACAAACCCATTCACGACCTAGTAAATGTGTTATACTTGTAACGTGTCGGACACAATGCACTGATCCCTAAGTTGCGATATGAAACAATATGTCATAAAATAAGAAGTAGAGAGACCCAATTTTTTGCTGGAAAAAACGTGATAGTACATCGACCTTGCCTGACTGCAGACCGGATCAACTACAATTCAACTTTATCGTGATATTGTGGCAGGTGGTTTCACATTACAAAAGGGCGATGTTAACATACATAAATTGTGTTAAGAAATTTATGCTGTGTATTCCCCGTCCCTTAGCAACTATCACGCACGCTAAAATAACTGACGTAGGGCTTTCTTATCAGGCAGTCTGACAGACAGCGGATCGGGATGGATGGAAGGTGATTGGATGGTATGAGGAGAGTTTATACTTGAGGTCAAGCGCTATTATATAACTGTACCGTGGGAAATCATTAAAACAAGTGAACGTATTCACCAACTTCATGAATAACACCCCGTCAATTATTGCAAAACTCTCATAGTATCTTTATACCTTCAAGGACACATTGGTCGATATAATTTAATGGGACGTCTTATCAGGTCTTTTTAAACGTTAATTAAGTGTTTGGGGAACGTGTCACTCAGCGGTTGAAATTTAGTGTTGTGAAAAGGAATTGATAATATATTATGTGTCTTTATTATAAATTGGACACTCTTCTATACTAAAACGGGGGTCTCTCTATAATATTTTGGGGCCGCGAATATGGGGTTAACGCAATCTGTGTTGATTCTTGAATAATGCCGAGGTATGTTTACGTCCACGTGCCAGTGAATCCGGAATATTTTTTTTCAAGTAATTTTACTATTTTTTATTCACACGTGAAATATAATATGACTTATAACTGACACCGTTATTTACTTATAACTACATCCCCACGCAAACTGTTTGACAATGTAGCCTAAGGCAAACTCAACATGCTGACAGCATTGAACGCAGTAGCCCACCCAGTTATCACAATGGTACCGTCTTACACTGCCATGTATGTTAGTTGAAAGAAAAAGTTCCTCTCCCCGTAACGGTTTGTCAACCGAATTACTGGCGCGGAAAAAAGTGAATTGCTGTATTAAACTTTAATCGAATGTTTAGAACCGCTACCGCGTCTCGATCTCAGTCAATCATGACGCTTTGACGCTAGTAAGATCACTCATAACCGAAACTGCTATTAAGTATACTTTATGGTTACTACTAATAAAGTCTATGACATAAACTTTCTGAGATTATCTGCATTAGTAAACAGTGAGTAAATAAATATTGTACGAGTTACAATTAAATTAGAAATATTTGTACAACAGTACTCATTTCGCCCAACATTCCACCGATTAGCGCTTTAATTTCCGACCGCAAGGTATTTTCCGAGCGGAAAACGACCGAATTTTTATCGTTTTTTCCTCTCGTTCGCTATTTGAAACATCGACCGCTTGCCCAAACACTGATCACTGGCACTGGAATGGTCGAAATGCTGGTTTTAATGACACAGTTGGGGGATACAATGAGTATATACGAGTGTAACTATTATTAAATTCTGAACGACACTTCAAATCTATGCCACCTTGTATGGTTCGCGAACGCAACTTTAACTGTTACTTCAGTGCTTATTATTTGTATGCTTGTTCTGATTTTTAGCTGCGAATGAAATTTAATATTTTATTTTATGGGATTGGGGTGGAAGTGTTACTGTGAACAAAGTAAAAGAAAGAAACAGTTTCGAAGAAAATTAGTCTATGTGAATTTAGCAAACATGTGTAATGTGAATCTATGAATTACGGTCAGTGTTCGTCCTGTCTCGGCTTGAATGACATACGTCGAAAAACCGACGCATCCTAAACTCAGCATGGAGAAACCAACGACGATCGACATTCCAAACAAATTATCACCGGGACACGGTCGATAGGCATTTCAAACAATTGAAATTATTATCGAAAGGTTAGATATTACAAACATGCTGTAATTATACCAAACGTACGCAAAATTAACAAATAAACGAAGAGGTTTAATGTTTTGTTTTATGTTAGGCGTAGGAATGTTTTCTTTCATTTAGTCCATGCATGGAGCGCTTTATTTAATTCCATGACTTTTCCATGTTTTATTTTTGGGGAAAACTACAATAATTAAACAAACACATCGTGAAGAGTCAACAAGCAGGAAAGGAAACCAATAAATTACACCGTGTACTTTGCAAATCAGACAATTACACCGCATTTTCGTTGATACATTTTTGTGACAGTACGTAACGTCAGAATATTGTTTCAAATAAAATATTCCAACCCAATCGAATCTAGGTCAAAGGGTCACACTGCGTGCATAGATAGTTAAAAACTAAATATATTTGAATTTTTGACGGCTATTCAAGTTTTGTGAAACCAAAATAAAATAGATACGTGTATACGATATGGTTGGGACATCATGTTCATTAGTGACGTCATTGTCCAGTGCCCCTAGAAGCGAAATGACGCCAGGGGACCTTTGTCGTCTACTTCACAGCCCGTTTTATACCCGATATTTAGGGTATTTGGCAGCACAAACAAGTTGTTTTTATCACCAGAATTCTTTCATAGATCTCAAATTTTATGTACGGAGTGACAAAAAGCCAGACCTCTTCTCTCCTTTAATTAACACATAATCAAAATACTGCTTTTGTGTATACTTTATTGTTATTAGTAATGAAGTCTAAGACACACACTTTCCGAGTTTATCGTGTATATTTCACAACGTTCTAAAACAATTAGTATATATCAACGTATTATTGTTCGGGTAACCTACCCACCAAAAAAACAAAACAAAAAAACAATCGATTGCCTGTTCGATATTGTAGCAATCTGATCCAGCTTTTGACCTCCTGGGGAGTATCGATCAACAAAAACACAATCGAATTACAGTCAAGTACAGCATACAACTCTAGGGTTACAACAAATAGAAAACAGTTTGTTGTCAATGTTGAGAGTGGTTGTGTAATGTTAATTCTGATTATAAGTGCGATTTATACTAACTCCACTTTATACTCATTATGTATCCGTATATGTTGCTATAGATATTTCATTTGCTGATTATTGAATTATGGTGCTTTGGTAAAACGTATAAAATTACCGGAACACCTGCAATTTATTACTGAATGTATAGTTGAACCATCGTTGGAACCAGAGCTGTACATGGTTTGCTTTGATAACCGAAAACACATGACGCATTGCAACACGTTGCTAGTATTGCTTCCCACGGCTAGTCATACGATTTACTTGCAACTGTTCAAATAAACAAAACAACATAACATCTAATGTTCTTTGTTCAGTATGCGTAACCACGAGACGGCGCTTATTAGCCCCTTCAAGTGCGCAATAAATATTGATTCGGGTATTCACAATTGTTTTGATTTCTTTATCAAATTTCTTTATCTACGGCACTGTGTGGTATACCGACCGTTGCATTGTAGGACGCCGCCCAGTATAGTTTGTATTGTGTACCCTTAAATATCATTAAAAATACGCATTAAAAATATTGACCATATCACAAAACGACAAGTGTGCCCTGCCAACAACAACGTAATGTCTGTACATTCATTCTGATAGAATGCCAACACTACCAATGCCAAGACTCAGCATGGAACAGAAGAAATTAGAAATAACAGATGCTGTACAAAGTGCATCGGAGGCAACTGTAAATTCGCCATCATGTTTGGCGGCATTGCAACGTCGTTATCTCTCATCATAATAATTATCGTTGTCGTTATCATGTCAACAAAGGGAAACGGTGGTAAGATACAAATAATTGTACTTTCTGGAAAAAAAGAAACATTGGAACAAAAACAACATAGTCATATAACGCTTTAATCATAATCGTTGTCGTCATAGCGACGGAGGCGTTGCTAAGATGAAATGTACTAATTTGGGCATTTCTGACTAACTTTGGGAGATAAGGCTACGTAATCATAATTAACATATCATTATAATGTTCGTTGTTGCAATAACAACGTCGGGAAACGGTGGTGGGATAACATGTGCTCGTTTGAGCACGTTTTGACTAATTAATGTGGGATTTAAGGCGACATAATCATAATTCATGTTCATGATAATTTACTAATTCATCGGATGCGAAATAAAGTCCAAATTAACATTACATTACTCCCTTTGAACGATTTTAACAAGGACATTCATTATACTTCTGATTTGCGTGTTTTTAAATTATTAAATACTGCGTGACACGCTGATCACAAAGAAGAGACAAGGACATACCCATAATTGTAAAGATGTGAGCATTTTGATGAGGTAAGAACCCATTTATTTACCCAGCCAGGGACGAAGGTATCTCTATTTTGTAACGTACATGTCTGTAAAACACTTTGATAATGTGTCATGGTATTTTAGCAAATTTGACTCAACGCCTTAATTAACCAGAAACTTAATTGGTCTAGAAATGTATCAATATTATAAATGCCTATAATATAATTTGTAATAAATTAGTTTGTATTAAGAAATAAAGCTTAGCTAAAATAGCTAAAATAACATTCCTCATATTAAATTCAATGGTGATTTGTGCCCGAATTCCATAGCGCTCGCAGGACAATGAAGACAACCGTCATTAATGAGAGCAGCCTGGGGTATCAGGTATAAATAAATTGAAAGAAAATACCATTTTAAAATCACCGAAACTGTTCATGATTATAAACTACCAATTAAATCTCAGACTAGTATATTAGGCTAGATGTTGTCCCTATTGTCACAATGAGTTCTATTGTTATATTCGCACTTATCACTGTAAGGATAGTTATACCATTGGTCAGAAAGTAAATATTTAGTTACGTTTTCTAATTGGCTAATAACATGTCACGTTGATTGTTTTATTCGCACGTACAACGTGTCATACAACAACAACAACTTTAAAGGCTATTTCGCTTGCACTGAAAATCATTAACAACTTATCGATAGATGGCGCTGTCACGTCTACTGGGTTAGAACACACACGGTCACTGTTTCCTCCGTGTTCGGTGTAAGAAGACATTTTTGCCATGTTTACATACTTGCCTGAGAGCGCAGAAGTGGCAGAAGATTATGGAGCGGTGTTTGGAATGTGTTTTCATTTGCGTTACAATGCACACCGAAGGTCCAGGATACGAGCTTTAGCACCTTTGCAGCTACCACAGAATCGGTGGGTAAATTAAAACACGTGTGAACGTGACATAAATACCTGCGCATTACACACGTATATGTCACTTGACGTAATTTAAATTTAAATGAATACAACTATATGTTAGTAGTGTTAGATTAAAACAAATACTCGACCCGGTGATTAGATGATGTTTTAAACTTACTCAATTATGATTTCTTTCTAATTGTATTACATTTTGTTCATTTGTTTTTCATAAAGAGTGTAATGTCATGGCAGTACCTTCGGATGACCATCAGTTCTTCGTCAAAACGCATCTAAATTTACATCATCATTAACTGATCTCTATCTCATGAACTAAATTATACATTAGTACAAAAGACGTACAAATACTTTAATGATCATTTACATTTTCTGGTGTTTGTACGCTACATAGTTTCCACTAATTTGTTCACATGACTAACTACAGTTAGTAAAAACTAATTTTCATTATAATACTCGGGTCATACATGTACAGTTGTTGTCACTATGTTACTAATTCAGATGAATAACAGGGACAT